TTTGTGTGTGTTTGTTTGTGTGTGTGTGTGTGTGTGTGTCTGTCTGCGCGCGTGCGTGCGCGCGCGTGCGTGCATGTGCGACTCATGCTCCTTAAGAGATTGCATGAGTTCGAGCATTCCTAGTCGAGATTAGTCGGGTACAGCGGAGTAAGCCTTGAAGAAACAATGTCCGATGATTCGAACCCCTTCATTCAAGAAGCTTTGCCGTCTGCCAGCTCAAAGCTCGATGTAGCTACCTGCGTGAGGGGTTTGTCCCAATATCAGAGCTCACAGCCTGAACTGACGAGGCTTCGGGTCCACATGAACTCACCAACTAGTTGTAAACAGGAACATCAACCATGAAGAGCGCAGACACACGCACGCACAAAACAAAGAAAGCAATGTTTAGAAACACAAGTAGCTGAACACGCCAACGTCTGTGTCCGTGAGAATCTGAGATGTGCACGAAGAATTCCTCAAACCCTGCAGCTCTGCTTCCAGAAGCTCGTCGGACCCCTCCGAAATGGAGGTCTAATGGATTACTCGCTGATGTTGCATGTGGCAGAATTCAAGGGCTACGCCGGCACCTGGGCTCAAAATTGCGGATTTTGGCACAGGTGCAGCCTGACCTGGCTTCAGTTGTAAGTGAAACTCTCAGGTTTGTCACTGCGAACTAAGCCGGGATGGAAGGGATCAAACCGCTCCTCTTGAGTCCGACATACTTGATGCAGTTCGGTGAGTATTGGCACGCGACGAAGATGCTAGCCGCTAACCGAACTCTTGTTTCGGCACACGGAGAAATATGTACCAACATGTGAACATGCACACGCACGTATACACACGTATAGTCTACATATCTATATACGAATGTGTACATTATGATGCAGACAACTATACGGACCAACACATCCGTGTGCTCTGCCATGCACACCATAAGCAAGGATTAAGGGAGACTGCCTGACTCCCTGGTGGAGAAGGTGCTGCGAAAAAACAAGGGTATAGGTTCAAAATGCCGGCACGTGAAGGCTTGTTGGTCAAGTGCCCGTACCTCTGATGGACGCCCGCTGAGACATCCAGCTCCTGAACTTGGAAAAGCCCTGGGCCTTTGCCACGCCGAATACGGCAAGCATGCCGCCCAGTCGCAAGCTGGTTGAGTGGCCTTTGGCAAGAGAAGGGCCGTCCAGCTATGGAAGTGAATAGCCTCCAAGACCTTACTGAGTCACTGCTCAACTCCTCCTTTCATGGACAAACCCCAAGTGCTCTAGTCAGGCGCTCTCGCCCGCTACTGTCTTTACCTCCGGACCGTGTAAAAGTTTCGTGTGGAATCGAGCTGTTTTGTTTGCTGTTCCCCGCCTGGAAGACAAGGCAAAGGGGCGATACCCTCTACGTGCTTAGTTTCGGCATCATTGACCTCCTTATGCATGAGAAGGACGCGCATTGCCCAGTCTACGGTTCAGCCGGCACAAGAATGGCTACCCCGTGCCTAGTCGTTACTAACAGGCTGTCGCGCAGGTCTAAGCGGGGACTCAAGGGAAAAAACTTTCGACCGAAACACAGTAGGCACAGAATCGTCCATGCTTTGCTGTCGTCTCGGATCAGCGGCATGGATTCAGCTGCGTTGCAGCCCCCTTTGTGCGTGCACCCACATCGTCGCAGGAGAACCGAGGGCTGCTGAACAAGCCTCTTAGGACGCATTTCAGAGCTGCCTGCGCCTTCAGCCGCCAAGATCGGTGTAGCAGTTGGCAGGGAAACAACGGCCACACCACATGTCCGCGCTATTCTGCCGCCAAGAAGTTCGTTGTGATTGAGCCTAAGATCCACTTAACCCAGCACAAGATAGGCCGGACCCTCCTCGTCCTGGGCAGACAGCAAAGTCAAGCATCATGCCGTTCGGAAATCCAAGTTGCGTGCTTTAGAAGTCAACTCTGTGTCTCCGACGCAGACGGCTGGCTGTATTTCGTGTTTTTTTGTCGAGCTCATTAGGGGTCAACTTGTGTGGCTTGTGCCAAGTTTTGCAAGTTTCGCCAGGCTTTTATCGGCGTCAGCATCGCAGGTTTCTGTCATTTACTCTTGCTGAGTTTCGATACTTCGTTCATCCTTGGTGCGGCGTTGTCCGGCGTCCATCGAGGTCAAAGCCGATAGCTCACTCATTCTTGTGTCCGTGCTGAGGTTCATGTCTGGAATCACCTTCTCACAGTGCCAAGTCAGCGACATCGATCCGATCCCCGCGAGAGACTACTGGACTCGAGCATGCTTGCCTGATCCACGTTCTTTCTGAGGCTTCACATGCTTCTGCTTGAATGCTAGGCTGCTACACTAGCTGAAAGACAATGGCTTCGCCTCCTTGTTGTTTTGCCGCGTCATGCGCCGTGCATTCCTCTCCATGACGGCAGGATACGATTTATCAGAATGCTTGGCCTTCGACTCAGGCCGATAGAACTAGCTGAGGGATACATCATAGAGGCAGAGAAACCGCGAGCGAGCTGCACGTGCTTCGACCACACAATCGTTTTCGACAGGTACGGTCCGCGCTGCACAAGCTGTTTGAAGGAGAAGAGACACAGAGGACTGGCTTCGCACAGGGTCTCTCTACATGCTCCCGCCAAGCAGCTTCTGACATCTTAATCTTCGGACAACCACATGTTGAAGCGAGATCCCCTGAGGATTCACCTACTTCCAGAACAAGTGGGCTTATGAGAGGTCGAAGGAATCCTGCAAGCCTGCGGCTTGAGACGGCCTTGTCCCTGCAAGCGGACCTAAGCCTCGCCAGCTCAATGCGGGAAAAGAGGGGCCGAAGCGACATGGGGGTTTCCGAAAAGAAGGGGTACCTTATTTTGGGGATCCTTGTAATATGGATCCTACTATTTGGGGTGCTATATTAGGGCCCCCTATTTTCGGAAACCCCCACATCCCTCTGCACAAAAAGCCACCGAGCCGAGGTACAGTGGCTTCAATTCTCACACTGCTCTCCAGCCTTCTCGCCAGAGCCAGGCTTGAGAGTGATCTGGGAGAGCGCTGCTGGGTTTAGGGTTTAGGGTTGCAGACATACTATATCAGGCAAGCACACGATCTGCCCTGACATATCGATCAAGACTTGGCTTCCTTTCTGTTTGTTCTCGGGATTTCTCGAGATTCTTGTCCCTCTACACACACTGTCAGTGCCAGGTAGCCTGCCACTTCAACCGGGGAGATGTTGGGGGCCGAGAGACAAGTGACTCCACATCCGTGGCTGCTTGCAGTAGACACGAAGGGAGAGTCACTGCTTCCGTTAATTTCCTTTACATGTTGCATTCGTGCCAGCAGGCCTGATGTACCTTCAGAAGTGAAGAAGAAACCGTCTGTAAACTGGAGGGCATCGCTCTAGGTCGGACTCGGGTAGACTGACGGTGCATATTTCTCAAGGCTTGTGATATGTGGACGCTTCCGCTGCCCTGTGGCTCGATGCCCGAGTCAAAGTTGCGTCTGCGGCCCGTACAGGGAGGCCACCTGCAAGACACCAACCTGCGTAGTGGAGAGGGTCGGCTCAGACATGCTCAGACCACGGATGCCAGGATTCCGCAGCCCTGGGATGTGCTGTGAGTTTCTTGCAATCTTGACCTGCCAGGCCTAGATCGCAGCATGCGGGCCTATCGCGCTTTCAGCCAGGCTCCAGCTTGCCGAGTCGTTGCAGATTTGAGAGCCTCGGTCAAAGGGAGGAGCATGGACTTCTAACGACATAACATACTCCAACGTCGTCATCATCAGGCAATCATCTAGACATTTTCAGGATGAAGCTGACGCCTCGCTACAGCGCTACATGGGGGTTTCAACTCAAGCGTCTGTAAAGATTGGACGGGGCCCGCCTTGCAGCAATCGCAAGTCGATCCCCCACAAGACTCTTCCTACGCTGACAGAGCTTCTTCGGACCCCCGGGGAGACTCCTCCAAAGCAACCAGGCGCCCTGGCTTGACAAGATCCTCGACCTGCAGGACATCAGGGGAAGACTTTATTGTAATTGAGCAGTAGTTATGGTATCCCAGAAATCGCAGTGCAACTACAGAATTTACGGTCGCCGCACAGAAATGCGCAGGATCTTCTTCTGCAGACCTTCTCTCCTGCAGAACCATCAGGCGTGAGGATGCGTGATCCATATATTAGAAGTAGAGTGATATTTACTTGTAGCACAAGAGCTCTCCCATCCCTCCCCCTGCGTGGTCAAATGTGACCGGGGAGAGGACAACTTTCGGGTTTGCGAATTACCAGTTCCATGTAGCACTTCTGGTGTGGCAGGCCCCGGACTCGGACTATTTAAGAGATGGCACGTTCCGGAATCTGAATTTCATTTACTGGTTTTGCACTCCCACTCCAGCCCATGTTCTCAGCACGCGACATTTGCTAAGCTTAGCATTACGGGAGCTCGCCCGCAACGCGGGCATGTAGTTAATTCTTAGAGTGCACATCCCAAGGCAATTGTATTCTTGCTGTCGCTTTCTCAGGCATCGTGAAGAACAAGGAAATTATCCCAGAAGCAGGGTTTCGATTCCGGCTAAATGCAAAAAACTCCTAAGGGCCGCGAGAGAGACTGAGACAGAGAGAGTCGCAAAAATGAGCAGACACTCAGTGATGTCGGGCTCTGAGTGCGAACATGTGTCGGTGCCTGCCTGGTACGTAGTGCTCCCTAACGCGATCGAGGCTCGCAGACTAGTTAGGAGGATCTGGAAGTCGCGGCCACCGTGTTGGCGCTGTCATGCACACGTGTCGCTTTTTGCTGCATTTGCAGGCAGAGGGTGGCACGTCTTTGGCCCCCATATTTTACAGCGTCTTCGCATGTTCTGGGACGAAAACCGTTTTGGAATAGCAGAATAGGGCGACAATTGTATGCACACTCAGCTCGAAACCAAGACATGTTAAATTGTTTCCCCATGCCATATACTTGAATAGATCTTGTCGTTGCAAGCATGAGTGTGGCATTCGTTCGGGAGCATGAGTAGGATTCACCGTGGTGGTGATTAATGAAGATAACGGAACCTATAGATCAGTGCAAAAGTGTAGAGTATGCCAGCATTGAATTCAAAACAGCGCCCTCGCAGCGTACTTGCTGCTCTGCACCCGGAGTCCGAAACTCGAAATGTCCTCCGCAGCTTGCCAGGCAAGATTTTGCCGGAAGTTGCTATCAACAGGCAGCAGCAGATCGAATCTGAGCAAGCTCGAGCCTCAGCTGGAAGGCTTGACACATCATTGTTGTTACCAGGATGGGTATCGCATAGTTGGGACTGTTGCGAGGGTCAGGGTTGCCATCGCTGCTCAATGATCATGCGAATTAATTATGTGCGTTCACAACAATAACTTCGTTCGCGGTGTCCGCATCACTGATTATTCGGATTGTGGCTACGCGTGTATATCGCTCCTGGTGCGTGCATGGTGGTTGAAGCGCTTGCTCCCATCAGCGTTCCTAGCTGACGAGAGCTGCAAGTAGTTGAATCACTACTGCTCTCGTATCCGGCTATCATCAATGGAAGTGCGATGCGTTGTTTCGTCATTGTTTGCCATGTGCCATCAAGACGACGGCGAGTGCGACAACGACGACTGCTACTGTTGCTAGTATTATAAACACCAGTGAATGGACATGACTTGGCAAGTCGATGTACAAAAAGCAGAAAATTGAATAACATTTAAAAATCAAAAAAAAACCGCAAAACACGCTGGGGGGCGGGAAGGGGGGTCGGGTCCGGGTCAGAACCAGGTGGGTGGTTGGGATGGGGGTTGGTGGGTGCGGGGAGGGTGGTCTCTTCATCCCAACCCCCCCCTTCTGGAATTGACAGCGAGCCATCAAAACTCCCGTCTCATTGATCGCGGTCATTCTGCTGCAAGGTGGGTTAGCTCATCTTCTGGCTTTGGCTAGTTTGCATTTGACCTTCGGACAGGTTTGCATCAGGTTTGTTCAATGTTTTCCAGTTGTGTGTCGTCAGGATTATTTCTGGTGTTTAAAATAAGTTTTTGAAGCGTCTCTTTGCGAGCGAGGGTGACATTCTAGTATCCCTCCTTCTGCTGCCACTACTAAAACGACCACTACGGCAAAATCTACTACCATGTACAACCGCGACTATCACTACCTGCCACTACCCCCTCTACCACTACCACTACGACGACGACGGCTACTACTACTACTACTACTACTACTACCACCGCTACTACCACAACTACCACTACTACCACCACTACCACTACCTCTATCACTACTACTGCTACCACCACCACCACCACGACTACGACTAGTACTACTCTACTACTACTACTACTACTACCACTACTACTACTACTACTACTACTACTACTACTACCACTACCACTACTACTAATACTAATACTAATACTACTACTACTACTACTACTACTACTACTACTGCCACCACTACTACTACTGCCACCACTACTACCACCACTACCAATACCTCCATCACTACTACTGGTACCACCACCACCACGACTACGACTAGTACTACTACTACTACTACCACCACCACTACCACTGCTACTACTACTACTACTACTACTACGACTACGATTACTGCTATTACCACTACTGTTACTACTACTACTACTACTACTACTACTAACTGCTAACTACTAACTACTAACT